AGGATTCTATGGGCAATATCTCGGAAGGGAGGTTGGGCAATCCTACTTCCGTAGTGATACTGCCTCGGAAACCCAAGGAGGGGTCACTATGAGTCGGGGTCGACTCGACGGCATATAACAACAACAACAACATGGGCAATATAGGAGCTCTGGTAGCATAGTGCCTAAGGCACTTGACTGCTAACCAGAAGGCTGGCAGCTCAAACCCACCAGCTACTCGGAAGGAAGGTTGGGCAATCCTACTTCTGTAGAGATGCTGCCTCGGAAACCCAAGAAGGGGTCATTATGAGTCGGGGCTCACTCAATGGCCCATAACAACAACAACAACATGGGCAAAATACTGAATGATGCAGGAAGCATCAAAAGAAGATGGAAGGAATACATAGAGTTACTATACAAAAAAGAATTAGTTGATGTTCAACCAATTTAGGAGGTGGCATATAATCAAGAACCAATGGTATTGAAGGAAGAGGTCCAAGCTGCGCTGAAGGAATTGGTGAAAAGCAGGGTTTCAGGAATTGATGGAATATCCATTGAGAAGTCTCAAAAAACAGATGCACTATTGGAAGCACGTAGTTTTTGCCAAGAAATTTGGAAGACAGCGATCTGGCCATCTGACTGGAAGAGATTGATATTTGTGCCCATTCCAAAGAAAGGTGATCCCCCAGAATGTGGAAATTATTGAACAGTATCATTTCTATCACACACAAGGAAAATTTGGCTGAGAATAATTAAAAAACTGTTGCAGCAGTTCATTGATAGGGGACTGCCAGAAATGCAAGTTGGATTCAGAAGAGGATGTGGAACAAGGGATTTTATTCCTAATGTCAGATGGATCTTGGCTCAAAGCAAAGAATACCAGAAAGATGTTTACTTGTGTTTTATTGACTATGCAAAGGCATTCAGTTCTTTGGATCATAACAAATTATGGATAACATTGAGAAGAATGAGAATGCCAGAACACTTAATTGTGCTCATAAGGAACCTTTACATAGACCAAGAGGCAATCATTCAAACAGAGCAAGAGGGCACTGCATAGTTTAAAATCAGGAAGAGTGTGTGTGAGTGTTACATCCTTTCACCATACTTATTCAATCTGTATGCTGAGCAAATAAACAGAAGCCAGATTTTGTGAAGAAGATCATGGCACCAGGATGGGAGGAAGACTCAACAACTTGCAATATACAAATAACACAACCTGGCTTGCTGAAAGTGAAGAAGACTTGAAACACTTATTAATGACTACCAAAGACCACAGCCTTCAGTATGGATTACACCTCAACATAAAACAAAAATCATCACTAGACCAATATGTAGTATCTTGATAAATAGAGAAAAGATGCAAGTTGTCAAAGACTCATTTTACTTGGACCCACAATCAACATCCCTGGAAGCAGCAGTCAAGAAATCAGACGATATATTGCATTGGGCAAATCTGCTGCGAACGACCCCTTTAAAGTGTTTAAGAGCAAAGATGTAATTTTAAAGAGTAAGTTACGCCTAACCCAAGCCATGGTATTTTCAGTAGCTTCATATGAATGTGAGAGCTGGACAGTTAATAAGGAGACCACAGAAGAATTGATGCATTTGAATTGAGGTATTGGTGAAGAATATTGAAGGTACTGTGGACTGCTAGGAGCTCTGGTAGTGTAGTGCCTAAGGCAATTGACTGCTAACCAGAAGATTGGCAGTTCAAACCCACCAGCCACTCCTCAGAAGGAAGGCTAGGCAATCTACTTCCATAGCAACACTGCCTCAGAAACCCAAGGAGGGGTTGCTATGAGTTGGGGTCCAACTCAGTGGCACATAACAGCAACAACAACATGGACTGCTAGAAGAGCAAACAAATCTTTCTTGGAGGAAGTACAGCCAGAATGTTCTTAGAAGCAAGAATGGCTAGACTTCATCTCTCATACTTTGGTCATGTTGTCAGAAGGAACTTGACCCTGGAGAAGGATTTCATGTTTGGTCAAGTGGAGGGTCAGAGAAAAAGGGGAGGACCCTCCATGAGATGGATTGACACAATGGCTGCAATGATAGGCTCAAGCACAGCAACGTTGTGAGAATGGCACCGGACCGGGCAGTGTTTTCATTTTTTTGTACGTGGGGTCACTGTGAGTTGGGATCAACTTGACATCGCCTAACAACAACAATATTATGATTCTCAGAGCATTCCAATTTCATTGACTGACTTTGCTATGAAATGTGGTTAGCATTAGGAATGAAAACCCTATTGAACAGTGCTACTCTGTCCCATAGGGTTACTATGAGTAGAATCGACTTAGTGGCAGTGGCTTGCATTTTTTTAATTAAGATAAAGTATACCATGTTTATTGTTTGATTTTAGTTTCTTTTGACGAATTTTGTAAGACTTAATGTTGGTGTTGTTGGTGGATTTTTGTTTCAATAACTAGTTAAATCTGAGTGCCTGATTTGTATTTGAACTCAAAAAGGTGACCTATTAAATTCTTCATAATGATACACAGATTATGATATTCTTTCTCATAACTTACCAACACATTTACTGTCTGTGCTTAGGAGGAAGAAGCAGACGTTGAAGGAATTCAGTATAAAACACTACGAACATTTCACCATGGAGTCAGGGTTGATGGCATAGCTTGGAGCCCAGAGACTAGACTTGATACCTTGCCTCCAGTAATCAAGTAAGTTTGAAATTACTCATTAATGTCCTTTCATTGTTATAAATGATTTAAAGTCTTTGAATGTAGAGACTTTTTTTTTCCCCCTGGAATTTCCATTTCCATTTTTCCCAACTCTGGACATTAGATATTTTTATTTTGGGCTTATCATCTGCATTTGGATTTAAATAGACAACCGTGGCAGGGCTGTTTTGAGTATACATTTGGGCCTAAGTACAAAGCTCTTCACCTGATATTCAGATGGATTTAAAGTTTTCACAGATTCTGCTTTGACTTTACCACCTTAATTATTAAAAGTACAACTCTGTTAAAATAACTATTGGTTTGAGGCATTAATCAACCTTTCTGCCCCATATGTAGATCAAGTTTAAATTATCATATTTACAGTATATAAATCTGTCATTTTAGTCCCTGGGCTTTGGTTTTTGTGAAATCTGAAAGAGCAATTAATAGAAAACTCTTTACCTGCCTTCACAAAGACAGGAATCTGTCAGGCTATTTAAGGTTTCTAACAAAACACTGGCTTTCCGTAGTTGTCAAATCTGAAAGCAGTGTCCTCTTCTAGTAAACACTTCTTAGCACCCTTAAGTTTGCATCTATAAGCTAACTTAATTTTATTTAATCAAGTGATAATTTACATGCAGTGTAATGCTCAGATCTAAACGGTACAATTTAATCAGTTTTGACAAACGTATATACTTGTATAACCCAAACCTTCTTAGAAAAACAGCATTTTTGTCACCCAGAAAGTTCTTTTATGCTTCTTCCCAGTCAATCCCCATACCTGGCCCTTACCAAACAATCATTGATCTGATTTCTATTACCAGAAATTAGTTTTGCCTGTTTCAGGACTTCATATTAATTTAATTATGTAAAATGTATTTTTTGTGTCTGCCTTAGTGTTTGCGATTTATCCATGTTGTATATACCAGTGGTTTATTTATTTTTGTCTTTGAGTGGTGTTCATGACACTGTATGAATGTGCCATAGTTTGGTTTTTAACGAACACCTGGCCAGTTTCCAGTTGTTAGCTATTCTGACTGAAGTTTCTGTGAGCATTCCTATCTATAACTTTTGATGGATATATGCTTTTATTTCTTTTGAGAGTAGGAATGCTGAGTTGGAGGGTAGATGCATGTTTAGTATTTTAACAAAGTGTCAGTTTCCAAAGTTCTTCTAACATCTTATACTCCCAGCAATAAGAATATCCCGGTTGCTCTACCTATTTACCAACATTGACTGTTCTCATTATTTTGAATTTTTGTCATTTTGGTTAGTACCACAATGACATTTCCCTGATAACTAAGGATGTTGAGGACTTTCAATATCATTACTCTTTTGCATATGTTTTATGAAGTGTCTGCTCAAGTCTGCCCATTTCTTATTCAGATTGTTTGACTTATTTATTATTTGTGTATTATGGTTATCAATCCTTTGTCAGGTATATGAGTTGTGACTGTTTTCTGTCAACCTGTGGTTTGCCTATTTATTTTCTTCATAGCACCTTTTGATAAGTTTTTACTTTGGATAAAGTGCTGATTCTTCTTTCTTGGTTAGTGCTCCCTGTATCCGAAGAAATCTTTGTCTATGACAGTGTTATGAAGGTGCTTACCTGTGTGTTTTTTCTAAGGGCTTTTATAGATTTTGGCTAACTTAATTTTGAATAATCTATACAATAGTTCTGGTCAATAGCCAAACAGAAATAATTAACTTTAGAGACAGAATAGTTGTCATGTCCTGTATTCTCTTTATTCTCTCAGTTGACCTTAAATTAGATTCCTAGAAAACTGCAAAGGTAGACTAAGTTACATTAGGTCTCTGTAGAGATGTCTTGACAAAACTATATCTTAGCATTATGTTCTGGGCATTGAGGAAATGTCAATGAAAGGAATGACTATGTGAATAGCATACATGATCATATGACCATTATGATCATATCATATAGTCAGTGTGCTATTCATTTCCCTTTCTATTTAAATAAAATATTCACAGAGTCTAGGCGTAAACAAGGATCCATCTCGTTACATTCTTTAGCAGAGTTGGAAAGGTAAGGAATCCATCTCTTCCCCTGGTTTTGAGTTAAGTTTTGTGATGCTTCTGTTAACCTAGATGTTCTGGTGTTATATCCTATACTCCCCTCATTTTATGGCACCTATTTTCCTGTCCTCTTTCTAGGATTTATCGTTTTGTTCCATTAGTTCCTCCTCCCTTTGGGGTCCTGTTTTGAATCCTTTTTAGAACTACCCACTCACTGCCATTGAGTGATTCCAACTTATAGTGAGTGACCTCCCATAGGATTTCCAAGGCTATAAATCTTTATGGAAGCAGACTTTCTCGTCTTTGTCCTGTAGAGTGGCTGGTAGGTTTAAACTGCCAGCCTTTTGGTAAGCAGCCCAATATTTTAACCATTACACCACCAGAGCTCCTTTTTTAGAGCTAGGCAGATAAAAATAATAATTTTGGAAAACATTAATCAGCCATTAATTTTAAAGACAAAATTTTTAGCACAAGCTAACAGCACAATTTTGTTGTTTCCAAAGAAATGACATATTTTTATTATGAAAATAGTACATAGTTACTACGTAAAATTTGGAAAACATAAATACAGTAATGGAAAAATGCCATCTATATATTCTGTAACACATAGGGTCACCATGAGTCATAACTTAATATCAATTCCTTTTCCATTCTTTTATAAATGATTTTACACAATTGTGATTCAGCTATATATGTAAGTTTATATACTTCTTTTTTAACTTTATGGGGTTTTTCTCCCCATGATATTCCAAAATAAATAAGTAATATTTTTTCATGACTCTGTATTAAGGAGCTCTGGTGGTGTAGTGGTTAAGGCAATTTGGCTATTTAACCAAAAGGCCAGGGGCTCAAACCCACCAGCTACTCTGCAGATACTGAGAAAGAAAGATGAGGCAGTCTGCTTCAGTAAAGATTTGCAGCCTTGGAAAACTCAATGTGAGTCACCATGAGTTGGGATCAACTCAATAGCAGTGAGTTTGGTATTGTTGGATGACTATATATATATTGGTCTATCAAGATGACTGAGCTTTAACTTAGTATCTCTCTCATCATAGTTAACTTTTATCTTTCACCTAGAAAGAAACCCTTGCCAATGATTTTATGTTGAACATTTAGTTTCCTTAAGACTTTTCTCTCTCTCCTTACCTTCCTACTCATTTCCATAACCACTTGCTTGTTTTTTACAGTGCTAGAGAGTGAGCTATTTGCCTTACTTGGGTTCTCACAGGTTTTCTGCTTTTACAAAAGTAATGACTTTAAACATCCCTAACATTCAGATATTCAGTTGGGAGCCAGCAGCTAGAGAAAGGAACCAGGAAGGAGAGAGAGAGAAGGCAGTGTAGTGCAGGTATGAAGCCAGCAGCTGGAGGAGGGAACTAGAAAGGAGAGAGAGAAGGTGGCATGAAGTAGGTTCAGAGCCAGTGGCCAGAGGAGGGAAACAAGAGAAAGAGAAGGCGGCACGAGGCAGGTTCAGAGCCAGCAGCCAGAGGAGGGAACCACGAAGAGAGAAAGCCAGCACATCGGGTGCAGAACAGCTAAGGGAGACCAGGAAGTGAGTGGAGCTGTTTGGAACAGCTAAAGGAGATGAACTTGACTGTCAGTTTGTCGTACTGTGGTGGCTTGCATGTTGCTGTGAGGCTAGAGGCTATGCTACCAGTATTTCATATGCCAACAGGGTTACCTGTGGTGGACAGGTTTCAGCAGAGCTTCCAGACTAAGACAGCTGGGAAGAAGGAAGAGGCTATCCACTTCTCAAAGAATTGGGCAGTGAAAACCTTATGAATAGCAGTCAAACACTGTCTGATATATTGCTGAAAAACTTTAGGAATAGCCATGAAACATTGCCCTAGATAGCATCAGAAGATGAGCCCACAGGTCGGAAGGCACTCAAAATACAACCAGGGAAGAGCTGCCTCCTCAGAGTAGAGCCAAACTTAATGATATGGGTAGGGTAGAGCTTTTGGGACCTCCATTTGCTGATGTGGACTGACTCAAGATGAGAAAAAATAGCTGCAAACATCCATTAATAAGCAGAACATGGAATGTACAAAGTATGAATCTAGGAAAATTAGAAGTTGTCAAAAATGAAATGGAATGCATAAAGATTGATATCCTGGACATTAGTGAGTTGAAATGGACTGGTTTAGGACATTTTGAATCAGACAGTCATATGATCTGCTATGCCGGGAATGACACATTGAACAGGAATGGCATGGCATTCACCACCACAAAAAATGTATCAAGATCTATCCTGAAGTACAATGCTGTCAGTGGTAGGATACTATTCCTATGCCTACAAGGAAGACCAGTTAATACTCCTATTATTCAAATTTACGCACCAACCACCAAAGCCAAAGATGAGGAAATTGAAGATTTTTACCAACTTTTGCAGTCTGAAGTTGACTGAACATACAATCAAGATGTGCTGATTATCACTGGTGATTGGAATGCAAAAGTTGGAAACAGAAGAATCACCAGTAGTTGAAAATATAGCCTTGGTGATAGAAATACTGCTGGAGATCTCATGATAGAATTTTATAAGAACAACGACTTATTCATTGCAAATACATTTTTTCAACAACACAGTGCTTATACACGTGGACTTCACCAAATGGAGTACACAGGAATCAGATTGACTACATCTGTAGCAAGAGGCAATGGAGAAGCTCAATATCTTTAGCCAAAACAAGGCCAGGAGCTGATTGTGGAAGAGACCATCAAATGAACTCATATGAAAGTTCAAGTTGAAGCTGAAGACAATTAAAACAAGTCTATCAGAGCCAAAATTATGACCTTGATGCAAAATATGACCTCCTAAATTTACGGATGATCTCAAGAATAGATATCAAGCATTGAACACCAGTGACTGAAAACCAGAATAATTGTGGATGACATCTAGAACATCATCCATGAAGAAAGCAAAAGGTTGTTAAAAAGGCAGGAAAGGAAGAAAAGACCAAAATGGA